TTGATTGGCAAGCGTTGGCGGGAGCTTCAAGAACTTGGCTGGAGATCCTTAACCACATATACCAAAGATATTCATTGCCAACGAGGATACGTCGCACAACCTCGACATTCTAGACAATCGACGTAACGTGTCAGTGAGTACTGATCCGATAAAGCCATAACACTTACCCATTTTCCACACAATCATAAAACTGCATTTGCTTCCCTATCTCTTTCCTCACTTCTTTACGAGTTTCACAGTATTGCACGATTAGGTGACTTCCCCTGACTGATTGGTCATATAACAAAAAAAGGGCGTCTTCAACGTAAGTGTTTCGTATAGAAAGAAGAAGCTTATCTTGCAATTAAGCGGAACTACTAGGCCGACAATTACTCAGCTTTCTCAAAGTTCTCATTCACTCATACTGCAGTTGACCGTATACCGCACAGCACATCACTTGCAATCATTTTTCCTTTGTGAGCTTTACACTCCTTTAAATCAAGCTACCTGATCTCTCCCCCCATTTCTGATACTGACACTTTCAGGTCGAAAGTACATGGCCATCGAATGTACCCTTTTTGCACATTGTGTGGCTAATCAAACAAAACAGACAGCTGACGTTTCTGACTTGCTCAGAGTTATGTACACTTCTTGAAATTGAGGCGTAACCGATTTACTAAAACAAACACATTTCTCCAAGCAACAGCAATACTATTCTTATCCATTGCTGCAGAAAGATGGGGAAATCTTCCCATTAATTGTAAATTTTCAGCTGAGGCATCATTTATTCATCTATGGAAATAATTATAATAACGAATGTGTAACGAGACGATAATTGCAAAATTTTCGTAAGTAAAGAGGAACTTCGATAAAATAATTTGATATATTTCTTTGTGATTAGATAGTGGATATGCCGAAATTAAGAAGTGAAGAGGGCGTATGTTAAAGACAACAGAAAAATAAACAAAGGAAATGAGAAACGGAAATCTTCTCTACAACGATTCCCTAGACTTTTTCCATGCAACACTTAAGTAGTGGCATCAAAGGCATTAGTGGGCGATTTGCTATTTATTGAAAAAAAATTGCAAGATATATAAATTTTAATTGCGCAACACTTTGAATAGGATAACCCACACTAAGGTAGCCATCAATTTCTTCCCCCCTCTTCTTGTTCAAGTTTATCTATAAATATTTTTCTTTCTGCTCAACTTTGAATCGCTTGTGCAAAATATTTTCTTGCAAAATATTGCATTTCCTTTTTCCTTTTAGTTATGAAACTAAACTTTTAAAGAACGATATTATTTTCGAAAAAAAATTTTTCGTATTTCACTCTGACCACATATGTACGTCCCGTTAAGTCAAAGCTATCTTTCAAAGTTGAGAGTTTTGTACATTTTTTCGTATCTTCTTCACTTTTTGCGTAGAATGTTCGCTCAAAACTATGACGCTGTTGACAACAACCGTAGCAACAAAAGTTGTGTGCCTCCACATTAGTTGTGTGAGTGATTCACATCTATGTCCTTAAACTTAAGAAATTAAACGAAAAACGCTATTGTTATAAATTTTTTTTAATGGCAGAGTTTTCAAGTTATTTTATTATTTTTCTTTTTCTCTCGCTTTCACTTCCTCTCGCAAAGAAGAAAGCAAAAAGAAAAACTTTCAAGGAGTCTTTTTCTCGAACACAAAATAAAGAGTTATTGTTATATGAAAAAGTTTGCGTTTTATTTCTTTATTTTTTAATTTCTATTCCTCAGTGAGCGATTGCAAGTGTGGGACATAGTAAAAAGATCGCTCCTTTTTCATATGAGAGGGGAAAAAAGGAAAAAAAAATTTATGTTGATTTTCTTTTCCTCTTACATTTATGCGTAGACGATATCCGTTTGCAAACTTTAGAAATAAATATTTTATGTTTAATAAAGTTGGTTAAAGAAGCAAAAAAAAAGAAGAGAATGAAGCGGATATGAATGATTAAGAAAGAGGAAACGGAAACAATAAGGATTATTTTATATTTTTTCTTTTAATTTATTACATATCGTATAATAATTTTACAACTTTCTGTTTTATATGTATATATATATATATATATAGATTCTTGATTAATACAATATTATTCTAAATCAATTTTGTATTGTATGTCTATGCCTTTGCAAGCCAAGGCGTGCAACACTTGCGCCAATATTTCCCGCTAGTAGCACTTAAATGACATTTCTTCATTAAAGAGACGCTTTCAGTCAAAATTTCATGCCGCTTGATTACGACTTGATTTTATAGACATTGCCTTTTTTTAATTTCTAAAACAATGGAAAAATTCAAACTTTAATTCGAGATTTAATTATAAAAAAAATAATTATATTTTGAGGGAAAAATATATCATTTGAATTCAGGATAGACTTGAAAGATATTATGACACGTTGCATCCATCGAAAAGAACATTTTTCTGTGGTTTCTGCATTGTAAGTGAGATTTTACGTATATCGATGTTGCTGATCGCTGAAGGGTCCCAAAGGAGGAAGACATCTTAGAAGTGTTGATAATTGTTCCAACATGAGGAATAAATTTGAGGCTGAAATCGTAGCAAGTAAGAGAATCATACTCGTTATCTTCAAAAGCACAAGATATATGGTGTACGTGTTGTACTTTATGAGCAACAAGCAGAAAACACCGAAAACAAAGATGTTCGCGGTCTAGGCGTGTACACGTTGCAGATGTGTCCCTTGAACAGTTGTGATCATTTTTAAATCCTTTTGCAAGTTTCTAGACGATATCTTCATTTGTGAGAGTTGTATCTTCTTACCACAGATACCATACGGTTGGGCAAATGGACAGACAAAAAGACGGAATTGATTGGGTGTACCCTGAATTTAAAGTGGCCAAGAATTTATATACTTTGTGAAGGTATTATAAAAAAATCAAGCGATGATACCCCATCGTAATAGGTAAGCGCGATAAGGTATGACAGTACTTCCCATAGAATATAAGTTGAAAGTTTTGCGGATTTATCCGCTGTAGTTTATGAGTGATAAGCAAAAGCCTAATTTTTTATTTTTTTTTGAAGAACATAGGTGTTCCCTGTTTACATAGTACTGAAAGTGTTTCCTTTGAGGGTTTTGGCCCACTTTCAGTACCAAGCTGAGTGCAGATATTTACAATTTTTCTGCCAACTTTACAGTCGATAGCTTCATTTTTGTGGCCAGGAGAGTGTTTACGACGGACGTGATCCAGACGTGAAAATTCAGAATTCGATGCTGATCAGGAATACATGCTTTGGGGTCTCTGAAGTTTCCTTCTCGGTGTTGCAAAGGTTTTGACAGCACAGATATAACGTCCAATCTTCCATGATGAGTATAAAAATATCGAAAGCAGTATGTTCACTAGTCTGCCTGAAAATACAGCCAAGATAAAGTTGTTGTCCAAATGGGCGCTGCATTCCTCCAGCAATAAGCAAGTTAATTGAAACAGTGCCAAAATTACATGAATTGCAGTTCGAATTGCCACCCGGGTCTTCACACTGACTGGAATATAGCAGGAAGATGCTACATGAAATCAAATGATGAATTAAACTATGAATTTTGACATCCAGTGACAAACAAAAAGTAGAATAACAAAAAAGTCAAAGCAGAGAAGAGCGCAAAGAGAAAAGCGATTATTATTCCAAAATAATCCAAGTTCCAATTCATATTTGAATACCTACTTAATCGAAGGCAAAGGAAGGTACTTTTTAGAAATTTTGTTGCAATTAGCCATGAAATAGGTATTTCATTGTAAGCCTCGGATTAGTGTATAGCTTTTAGCCATGCCAAGACTCACGACCGGTAAAACTGAACATAAAGAGCTAAAACTACAGTTGCATATCGATGATCCGTATAGATTAAATAGATCGAATAGGCTCAGTCTGGAAATACTCCCAAAAACCTAAGCAGAAATGTACAGCAACTGTCAGAACTCTTAGGAAGGCAATTCCCACAACACGTCGTAAAAGGTCGGCAAAGTTAAAGTCCCGTTCCGAACACAGGAATAACGCATCATTATGGATAAGGAGATTAATAATAAAGGAAGGAAGTATTCATTATGTTGGCAACGTTCCCATCGCATCCATAATTACAGAGTTACCAAGTAAGAATATATTACAGTAACAAAAAAAAAAAAACGAAGAAATGAATTAGGCGAAGAGGTTTAGTGTATTAAATAACCACAACTTTTGTTTACTCCGGCAACAAATAAATTAAAGTTCAATTTAAATCAGTATATTCTTAATTAACATCAGACTTGCCAGAGCGAGTCAAGATCACTCATTTATTTCTTTATATTATCAGCCTGAGTGGAGGAGCAGGCAGTGGTCGTGCGTTGAAAACCCAAGTCCGGTAGAGTTTTCAATAAAGCTGACAGCCTTATATACTTGCGCGGTAAGGCTTTAGCTTTAGAACTTATTTTTCTGGCTGCAACAACAATTAAAACAAAGATAATAATAATATTTTTTTTAAAAATATGTACTGGTTTTCAATACAATTATGAAATGTATACAAGTACTACGTCCTTCTCTTTCCCACCTGAATGGCTCATTAAATAATAAAGTATAGGAAAAATTCATTGAGAACTGCCAGACTTGTTCTAAACCTGGCGCATAGAAAATCGTCGATGAGCAATTATTCTAAATGGAAGTCAGGCACCCCTTTGCTCCATGATGCTAAATTAACCGGATAATTTTGGTATTAAATTCGCCGCCAAAACGGTTGAATTTTCCTGTTCAAATACCAAGCAAAAGAAATAGAATTAGAGCCGTCAGCAGGAAATGTTATAAAAAAAAAACTGTGAAAAATGCATTTTAAAAGCGGAAAAAAGTTTCTTTAAAATAAAATTTTATTTCTTCTTCAATTTTGTTGTTTGAGTCGAATTGACTCAAGTCGGTGTTTGCGGCTTCGAATCTCAATGCGGTAGGCCATAGTTTACAGCAGCTATTCAAACTATTTTTTTTTTTTTGTTGTGACCAATTATTCAGGGGCTTCCCCTACAAGCGTAACGCGATGGCGGTTAGAAACAAGGGTAAGAGGGAAAGAAAGAAAGATATAGGGGGGTGGCGGCCGCAACCCAGTGGGTGTGTGCCCAATCGGTAATTGTTATGCCATTACCGACCAATTAGTCACTGCGATCGAAGATCCAACCTCATTTTTACTACCTATAGACAATGCTAAGGGAAACGCTCAATATTACTTTGATTTAAAAGCTTTAAAATTCTTTGAAAACTGTTTAAGGAAACTGGAAATAAGGTTAGCACATACCCTTTCTTAGATTTTAAAATTAATTTATTATTTGCTTCTTAGCAAAATACTTTGCATCGGAGCTCCTCGATTACATGGTTATTTACGAAATCATTGCAAGGATTGGTTGCACAGTTTTTTGCTCGATTTGGATCATCGGTTCCACTACTTTTATGATGACGAAGAATTTGCCTGGTATAATATGTGCAACAATTTTTTCTTCGACGAGTGCCAAAGGCGAAAATTTATAAGATTTTTAAAAATTAAAAGGTTAGAAACATCTATTCGGTTGTGTAAATTTTTATCCGCCATTAAATGGATGTATATGGGATTTCTACAATAGCACTTTGATCTGAACAGTAAAAGAATGTGTAGAATGTGCGTCCAACGTAGCAATTCTATTGTTTTTATTCGCAGGAATTAAAATAGAGGATTGATCTTTGGATGTACATTCTTAGTTGTTGAAAACCAATCAAGTTAAACGTGCGCCAAAGTATAATATGTAAAAAACTATTATCCATTTAATATGTAAAATGTTTCCGGGCGATATGATAATGATAATTATAAAAGGGAAACAGAATAAGGCATCCATACGCACTTTGTATTTATTTACAGCTCGCAACGCCTACTTCTATTCACAGATCCACCTTTCGGGTGCCGAACAGAACCTATAATTAACACTTTGCGCGGGCTTAGTAAGCTCTTTAACGAAATCAACCTTTTGCCTCACCAGCCGTTACCTACCTTCTGGATTTTTCCATACTTCTCAGAACAATACATACAAGCAGAATGCTCGGCGTTTGAAATGTGCGATTATAAAATCAATTACATTAATCATTTATCGTATACGGATAATGGACATAAATTTCGTAAACTCGGTTCGCCCGTACGACTTTTCACAAATGTGCCTTTGGAAATGCTTAAGCTGCCAGTCAGAGAAGGATATAAATATTGTGCGAGATGTGAACGTTATACAGCTTTGGAAAATCATCACTGTAACAAATGCAACAAATGTCCTTCAAAAAATGGTGCCACCTATCGGCATTGCTTAAATTGCGGTATATGTGTTAAGCCCTATTACGTCCATTGCGTTAACTGCCAACGTTGTACCCAAAAAGAGGGCCACAATTGCGCAGAATATCAGACCAAGCAGAGATGTCGGACATGCAACAAGCAAGGGCACACTGAGCTTAAATGCTCACTTAGGAAAGCGTAAAAAGTATATGGAATTGCGCACGATTCAAGCTCAATATATGTGAAATTTAAATTTTGAAATTCATGATAAAATACACAAAGTAATTATGTATATGCTAAATAAAAAAAAGGTGTTAAAACTTTAAAAAACTTTCAGTTTACTTTAAACATTTCCGTGTATTCTAGTTAGCATTTTAAGCAGATGTAAGACTAATTGATATCTTAAAGTTAGCCTTCATTTCTCTCGTAAATGTAATTTCTATTCTATCTTGTATTTTGTTCTAATTTTAGTTAATTTTAACTGTTCTGTTCTTTCATTTTTCTTTTTTTTTATTAACTTGTTTCGTTTTCTAGATTTGTATTTCTTAACAAATATATTTGCTACTCTAATTTTCTTCTTTTTTTTTTAAAGCTTCCACTGTCATACCTACTGTCGGCTAACGTAAATCTTAAAATGAAGTGCTACGTTTGTGAGAAATATTGTCGCAATTAGGCAAAGAAAAATATCGATTAGGAATAAATTATTCTTAATTATCTGCTATTCATAACAACTGATGAGAATTTTTTATTCTACATTTTAGAAGAAATACCACAAGCAACTCCGGATTTCGTTAAGAAAATGCGCGGCGGCTAACCGCTTTTAAAAGCAATTCTTACCTTACTGTTAAATTCACAATGTAACTTAGAACGCGTCCCGATCCGCACCGTAGCTTTAACAAGTGCTTTCTTCACAAAATTACTGCAGACTCATCAATTCAGTCAAGCAGTTGAGTAAGTCTGTTAATTTGTCAAACTGCATAATTATGTGTAAGTGTTTTTATTGCTATTCCCCCATCACGATGTTTAAAGAAAATCGACCACTTTACATTTTAGAATAACATAGCTACAGCATGGACAGCATATGCGAAATGAAAAACGGATTTGTATTAAATTTTATTTCAATCTGCTTGACATCATTTTTAGTTGCGGCAATACGTGATGAATACAATAATGGAAAACGCGCGTATATGCCTTTAGTCCCACGAAGGAAAAGTGAAAAAATTCAAAATGATTACCAACATATGTATGAAGGAACTCCTCTTTATCAAATAATTCAACCTATTTCAGAAAGTTTGGGTTCGCCTCGCCTATATAAACATTCATTCCAAAAAGTGTATCCTTTGAACAAATATTCAGATGACTTTCTCCAAGTTTCTAATGCAAGAAATTCTCAAAAATATGAGCCAAAGCGGTTTTTAAATAACTATGACGAATATAAAAATAAGGAGAATTACCGTTCATTTATAAACAAGGAAGTTTTGGGAGAACACATTTGGGACTTTTCAAAAGACGAGATTTTACATTTACAACCCACGCGCAAAGCAGGCTTTGAGCACAAGATTGCAAAACGAGTGAAACCAAAACCATCCTTAGATGAAAAAGAAAGTTTCATTTCAAGCAGACCTCTTGTGGGAAAGGTAAACTTTTTTTTTAATAAGTAATTATGAATACAAAAACATAATGAACAAATTAAAATTTTTTCAGCTATTAAAACCAAAAAAGATGCAGTGGCAGAATAACCGAAACGTACTTGCAAGTCCTAATACCGCTGATTATTACGATTATAACAAGCAAAGATATTTCGTAACTGTGCCCAATTACTGTGTTATATACTCTGGTGGAAATCTTTGCAAAATGGAAATCTGCGAAATCAATATTCACTTTATACCTCTTCCATTATTTTATGGCATAAACGTGAAGAAAGGCGATTTACATAATTCCACTGAAGTTAATGAAAAAGCATTACCCCAAGCATCCGCTAAGGCGGATAAAATCGTTAACGTGGAGGAGAAGGAGACTATTTTGACGACAATACCGGATATTGAAGACAGAACTTTCAAAACTATGTTACATGCAGCAAAAGTTCACTCTGGTATGGTAAACGATCGAGTAAACACAAGCGCGAATAGGAAATAGGAATTTTTATACATGCGACAGCTGTTCATAAACAAAATATGAAAATTCTTTTGATCGCTCTTAATTGCTTAAATAAGGGTAAATAAAAAAAAAACACACACTGGGATATATAACTAAAGTACATTTCCATTACCAAAATTAAATCTTAACTGGCCTTGTTTTATTGAATCATTATGATTTCTTAGTTGTGCTTTTACGTAAATTTTTATGGGTATTGTATAAGCAGGAAGAACATGCATGCATACATTTAGAGAGTAGCGATGATCATGGATTTCATTCATTATTTTTTTTGATCTAAAGTTTGAATGTAGATGCGTAGAATTATTGAGAAATATTTGAATTAAATTTTTAGATTTTCGATTTTCTAAGTTATGCTTTTCTCTCCGAGGCTTCCCATTTTCCATATAATATTAACAATTATTATTTATTCGGGCTTCCGGAAAATGTATACAGAATTTGGAGGTCGCTTATGCGAATTATATTAGCTTTAACTCCTCCATTCGAATCAGATCGTAAATCAGTTCACATTCACTGCAATTGGCGATTTTGAATGGACTAAGCCAATGGCAACTGTGCTTCATGTATCCAGAAGGAAAACTAACAAATAATCATAAATAATTTTTTTAGCTCCTTGATGAGAAACCTTGAGTATATTATAATAGTCTTGATAAACCATTCGAATTAAAAGTAATCATGAAAGAAGAGAATGAATGTTTGTAAAGTTCACATAGTTAGGCTAATTGATTGAATGCATGATTCTCTCTTCTTGCGGCCTTTAAGTTACGGGCATTCAGAGGTGGCACCGGTTCTTCAGTAAGCATTTTTCAATAATTTTTACCTCTTCAAAGGTTTCTTATTTTTAAGAAATGATTAATTGGCGATTACTCATATCATCAATCAAGTGTGTGTTAAAAACTAAACCAAATGTTAAACGCAAGTTTGGAGCTTCGATTTGAACTTCTCCTTCAGATACCTAGCAAGCGCTTTCATCCTGTTATGATTTGATTTATTAGTTTTACTATGTTTTAACCATGTTGAATACATATTTTACAAAGGGAAGAAAGAGTATATAAATGAACATCTATTGGCAACACTTGGTAGCACCAAGTGTACTAACCGAAATGGCAGCATTTTTTAATTATACTTGCTTTCAATAAAAAATGCTAGAGAAGAATCTCTGCTATGAAGCTCGCGTCGTCTTATAAATATGTATGCATCAGTATCGATTAACGTTACGCTCTAAACGCACTACATTTGTTTTATTTCTTCAAATATTTTTAATGTTTATTGCATTTAATCCTTATATAATTTTTAAGCGGGATTTCTTCCAAATATGAGTGTTCAATACATTTTATTATTTCAAAATTTATTTGCTAATAATTTTATCGGTACCTAAACACTTCATATTTTGTCAGCCAGACTAATAAATTTTCAAACGTTCTCCCGGCAAGTTTATCATCAAAACGAAAAAAATTGGGGAAAATGAAAATGCATTCCGATAAACTCTTTAAACGGTACTTAATAACATTTTTTTTATTTAGCATAAATTCATATTTTTATTTAGCAAGGTCATTCAACTGGATCATAAATTTTGTTTTTGTTCGCAAAACAAAACTTGGAGAGCAGTAAAAATTTTATAATTTAAAAACTTTAGACGACGGGGAACGTTCAATGACATAACCAAACTTAAGCAGAAAAGAATAACTTTTTGTTTATGCATTTTTTTCTTCTTTTTGTACATATATACGTATATATATATATTTTGGAGCTGATGACAGTATCGATAATTTATGAGTTGTACGTTGTTTATTTACTATTTTTGGTTTACGTGCCAAACGAGAAATGAAACAAAGGGGGAAAAAGAACTATTCTCTTACCTGTAAATTCATGGTGACATTTATCTAGACCGGTAGACATAATGTTGCATGCATTTTTTATTTTTTTGCCTTAAAGGTAAAAAAAAAAATGTTGAGAAAGTTATATTTGGTCGAATTCGAATTTCAGATATCACATAGCATCTGTAGTAAATAGAAAACAAACTTAAGTATCAATCTCTAACAGAAAACGTTAAACTGTACACTTTATTTTTTATTTTTTACCAGTCTTCATTTCTGCGACCGTGAACATATGTAAAGACGCGGACAATTTGGCAAGACGAACTTTAGTAAGTCGAATTTTAATTAGACGGACCTTGGTTAGACATACCCCGGTAAGAATAAACTTTAGTTAGATGAAATTTAGTAAGAGGAACTCTTGTTCAACAACCCCAGCAAGTTAGTTAGTAATAGTTAGATCGATAATCATTTAAAGAATGCATGCCAAGCCTTACTTTGTCGTCGAGACCGGGCAAATGGGAAGCAAGAGAGCGCAGGCGCAAACGAAAATCTTCATAAGGTCGATTGTACACAATTCTGGTGGTTACAAACGGAAGGAAAAATCGATTATATTACAATTTTTCAGCGATGAATGTAACACAAAAAAACGAAGGAACTCTCAAGCGTTTGTGTACTGACCATCCAACGTGCATAGATGGAAAGAGATTTTTTATAACTATTACAGCAGATGTATTAAGTTTGCGATGCACCGTAATAAATGCAGATCTTGGTTGCTTTGTTATTCATAGGATGAGTTTTCTAAATAAGTCACTGTATGGGAAGTGGTCGAAAAAAGTGGCCATTTTGCACAATGTGGTTTCTTTAACAAACAGAGGTCGGTGTACCGAATTTCACGAGAATATCACAAAAATTTCGACCTGCAGCTTGAACCCAAGAATGCAAGATGGATAGGCGAACAGACAGAACATTTAGTTCGATTCCGGAAGTGACTGTCGATTCAGAAAAACTAAAGAATGCAAGATGGAGCTATGGATAGACAAGTTTAGTTCGATTTAGGAAGTGACTCCCAATTCAGAAAGAAGGAAAGGAAGTGGCTCAGAAAGCGATGCTGAATCGATTGGTACAACAATGGAAGATTGGTCTCTCTAAAGTGCTTCTGGATAGTCTATATATCCTCATGAACTTAAGACAACCTTGTATAACAAGTAGTGTAGAAAATTAAAGTGATCCGCAATTGGTATTTGGCATAAAGAGTAATTTTAACAACTTTCAATGCAGCATACAATTGCAGCTGATCATCGTCTTTAGAATCGAAACAGCAATTTCGAAACTTTGTCTTGGCGAGGAACTTAGGTCCCAAAATTTTCCTTATCACTATCTCCGTTGTGAGCCAAAAAGGCATCCAAAAATTTACTAATAAGCTGATAATTTCCGCGTCTAAAGGAGAACAGATTTCAAACCATTTGTATACTGTGTACTTCAGTTACAGAAAACGCCCTCAGAAAGCTAATGAAGCATGATTTTTATCTATATTTTACTACTTTTTACCTGAAGTGTATTACGCAAAAGCGGTCAACCTTTTTTGCACAAGTAGATTTGTGAGAATTTCGGTACTGAAGACCAAAAATATATATATACGACTTGCAAAATTCTAACTTTAAGTAACTTTCCCTTCTTGTTATTTAGAAGAAATTAATATCATAAAGATCATGGGCAAGCTTTATGTTCATATCAGCACATTTTCTAAAATGATCCATAGAAATGCTCTGAGGCTGTCAAATGACAGGGTTCTAGTGAAATTTCTGAGGAAGTACAATAGCACGCTTAAACCCTGGGAAAGCGGTATCGGGTGCTAAAGCAATGAGGAAGAGCAAGGATATTAGAATGATAATGAAAAGCCTGGGCCAATAGACATGTCTAGAGGGAGCTATAATCTCAAGTCAAATAAATAAATGAATACAATATCTAGTGGTAAACCTAATGTTACAAAGTGAGTGACAAAATTTTTACACACTTTTAAATTTCGAGACGGTTAGGAACGGCGATGAACGAAAACTATTTCTACAACCTGGCATTTTCTTTCTTTCTTTTTTTTTTTGTTCAAGGTGGCGCACAATAAATACATATAGTTGTATAGTAAAGTTCAGGAATATGGTTTGTTATTATGTGCCCGTTATGCCATAGACTGTAGAACTTTATAAATAATAATAATAAATTCATAATGTCAACTGTCAACAAGTTAAGAAAAATAAGGGAAAATAAATACAACAGCATTAAACACTCCTTGTTACATCAGTGAACACTATTATAAACAAAGTTTATGTTCATTACCTTACCGTCAGCCATACTAAATGAGACGACTCAGATTTTTGGTGACTATTCACACAATTTAGTCGACAATTTTCCCTTTTCTTCTGCCAAGTATTACTTAGGTAACCATGTTTAACGGCAACGTTATTATTTACTCATATTTATTATGCGATAATACATATTTTATTATTATTATTATTATTTCATATAATCAACCATCTAGGTAGGATGTGTGTGCGCAAGAACATAGCAAGACTAGTAAAGGACACTTTATACGATTCACTGATTTTCACATATAATAATAATTTGCATGATAACTATGATGACGTGTTTACGATTGTAATAAAATGATTTAATAAATTTTTTTATTTGATTACTTTCTCATTGAAGATGTGTGCTTTCGTTTTTTATTTTTTCTTCTTTATGTAAATAATAAGCAAAAGGAGAAAAGCATGACTTTGTAACATGCAAAAATCCATTTAACAATAGCCTGATAGGTAATTTACAAGGAGAAATTACTTGAGCAAAGTTTATTCAGTTTTTTGTTGTTGTAAGAATTATTAGAGTGAAAGAAGGCTAGACCGACGCCAAATGGAAGTGTCATATATACAAAGCCCTAGTTCCGTTATTTACCTTCATACGTCTTTACGTTTACGATTTGTCTACCAAATTAACTCAGCGGATATATGTAGAGTAGCTTTCGACAGGTAAAGACGACCATATGGTGTTTTTTTTCCTAAGTTGCTGCTGTTTCAATTTTTGTCTACCAACTAAACTCAGCTTCATAGTCAGGTAAGTCACACTCCGCGCGTAATTTTCAACAAACATGCGCCACGATTGTTTCTGTCAAAAAATTATGCGGAATCTCTCAATAGAAGGAAGAACTTTTTGAAGTTCTTTTAACGAAAGCACACATCGTCTCTG